TACAGATCAACAACAAGAGAAACTGAACACAAAACAAATAAAATAATAGTAATAATAAAGAAATGTGTTGGGTGTGGGCGTAATAAAATGGAAATGATGAGTCACTCAGAATTTGGACCTACGAAGAAGGGGTCGTGGATTCGCTGATTATTTGGAGAAAATAGAATTGAATAAACAAAAGAAATGTGGGGCTGGAGCTGGACATTGGACAATGGACATGGTTGCGTCGCTGCACCAGGAAGCTTGGAGTTTGTCTTTATTGTCCAAATTCAGTGGGACGAAAACGAAACCAAAGAAGAACTGGAGAACCACCAGCCACCAGCCACAGCCACCGTCACAGACCAATCACCGCACGGACTCCATAATATTTCTTTTTCATTTGATTTAAAATATAATTCCACAGCGGTGGTGATACCCGCGTCACATCTTTCCACCTTCCGAATAATTTTGCTGCCCACCCATTTGTTTTTTCTTTTCTCCCTCTTCTTAATTCTTATCTTTCCTTTTTCCCATAATGTCATTTCTCCTTTTTTTTTCTTTTTCTTTTTGGAATGCCCATTCCTCATATAGGGATGCTTCTTCTTCTCTAATTTTTTTTCTTTTCTTTAATTTGATTCAATCCAGTTTTCTAGAGCTGTTTTGTTTTACTTACAAGATAGTAGCTTTTATCCCTTTCGATTCTTTAATATTAATTTTAATGAGTCAAATCAATTGGTATATTATACTCATGCAAATATAACTTTTTTTAATGATTTATTTTATAATTAAAAATACTTTTTTAACTTTTTAAATTTTTGTCTGTTCATTGTCGCTCTCCCACAGTGCTTCAGTCGATTTGGCAAAGAATATGGCGTTTCATCATGGTCTTCTGCTAGCGAGTGAGGAGGACTTTCGACCCATTATTCTCAAGTCGAGCTCTTTGCGGTGTTTCCAATCCCTCACTCTAGATGTTGAGGATTTGATTGGGGAGGGATGCCTTCTCGCTGCTTTTAGCCGGCATTGTTATCTATTGGGTGTGGTTCGTTTCACATTTATACACTGTAAAGGCAATGTAGTAGTTCATAAATTGACACAAATGGTTGCTGTTCGGCATTTGAATTGTATTTGACTTGAAGAGGGTCCTTCTGAAATTTCCAATTCAATTACTTCTACTAGTTCTAATTTTCTTTCCTAGCCTCGTTTCTTCTGTACTTGTAAAAAAAAGTAATTTTAGCATAAAAATCTGATAAGTGATTTTAAACGAAGGCAAAATGAAGAATAGGAGAGAAACTACCTCATTTAGTTTATCTTAGATTCGAAAAGTTATAGACATAATTTTAACATTTTAGCATTTTCTCCTAGATTTTTAGAATTTGAATATTAAATATTTAATAGTTAGAAAATTAAATTATGGAATGCGGATGAAAATTTGTGCTTTTGTCTCTTCTTGTAAAAATTACTGCACCTAAAATTATTATTTTCAAAATTTGTCACGAATTTGTTGTAAATCTTCTCGAACTTATAATTAAATTGATCACATATTAAAACAAAATTTTATATATCATAGATTTAAACGTTTAGAAATAGTTCTTGATACATCTAAAATTGACCTATAATATTTAACAATAATATAAAATAGTCAAAGTCAATTCTATGTTAACTAGGATAATTGAAAGTTTATAGTAAGGGCAAAAAAACAAAAATCTTTGAAGCTAGAATGTCGAGACTAAGTAAAACATTCAAACCAACCTAAAATACTACACGTATTTTGTTTAAGGAATAAACTCTCTCTCCTTTTCCAATATATATTTATTGATTTTGTTAAATTGCTAATGGTGAGAGCAATCTAGTAAAAGTAAATATATAATGAAAAATAAATATAGCCTATTTAGAATTGCAGAAAATCGCAAGAAAAAAATAACAAATTTTAATTTATTATTTGAAAATTCCGCTCTTTAAATTTTGATAGCATAGGAATTTAATGGTAATTATCAAACTATTTCTGAAAAATAAATATCATAAAAAAAAAAAAAGAAAGGAAGATTTCAAAGGAAATGAATAAAATATTGGGAGAATATGGAAAATGAAAACAAATGGAGTGGGTCCAGGTGGTGGGGGAAGGGAGCATTGGTACTACCATGGATGGGTTTAGTGTGTGAAGGCGGGACCAGTACAACAAGTGGGCGAGTGGAAGCCATGGATGAGGTGACGTGGGGTCCACACTGTTGACGAAAAGAAAGAATGTCCTGTGGGGCCCACTCCAAGTGCGGCGACTCCGCACTTCCTTAAGCCTACCTCACCCTCGCCTTCCGCTTCGTTTACAGCAACACATCATYCCCCCCCCCCCCCCCCCCTCTGGGGGTATATTATTACTACTAATAATAATTCAAAATTTAATACCAATCATGATTCCATTTTTCTTTTCACATTTTTATTTCACTTTAATCGTTAAATTTTTTTCAAAGAAAGATATTTACATGACGAATATATTTGAGGTACACATTTCAAATTTAGGATATGAGTGAATTATTTTAACTATTGAATTATGTTCAAGTTAATTTTCTTTTATAAAAACTAAGTAAGTTTCAAAATAAAACTAATTTTTTTGATAATTAATTTAAAAATAACCAAAGAATATCATAATATAGAATGTGATGCTTGTATATGTACCCAAACAAATTCGATTAATTGAAAATTTAGAGTAAAAAGATCGATCCCAAATCCACTTAGATAAAATACTAAAAATAGCTTTAGAATGTATATCAGTGATGAACTCTATCACTAATAGATTATCTAAGTGATAGACTATCACAGACAAACATTTATCTCTAATAGACTATGTGTAATACTATATCATTGATGCGTATATATATGAAAAAGGAAATGGAAAAATAGGAGTGAAATATAGAAAAGAAAGATATATTTTAATATAATATAAGGTGAAGGTTAGAGTGGGGTTGGACAATGAAAGGGACGCAGAAACTACAAGGAGGAGGGCCCCACCCCACCATGAAAACCACATTCTTTTTTTCAATTCTTTTCTCAAACTTGTGCCATTCCCTTACGTCTCTTTGCGTTCTCCAAAAGCCGCTTCTCTCTCTCCTCATCATTCATTTTTTGCTACCAAAGGTTTGGGAGCTGCTCTCAGTCTCCTCTCCCATCCCCTCTGGATAACCCTCCACTTTTCTTTTCACACGCGCCCCTTTCAAAAAAATATTTTCAGTTTTGCTTTTCTTTTTTTTGTTTTTTAATTTGTGGTTAATAACGAGTGGTGACACCTAAATATTGTTCAAAATTCAAATACCATAATATTATTCGTATTATATTTCTTCATTTCGTTTTAAAATTTGGATGGATTAAGAGTCCAATCAATGCGGTGGCTCTGGCTCGTTTGACTCAACATGGGCTCATATTGAATCATCAGGTGCGGTACGACATGTCGTTGAGTTGGGGCGCCTGCCGCCCGCAAGTATTGACCCGCACGGAACTTCCAAACTATCATTACTTTCTTCTAACTTCGAGGAAGGATTAAGAAATGGGAGAATGAAGCGTTTGCATTTTTAACTTTTTAAGGGAGAGATGGAGAACAAAGAGAAGTGAAACCCCAAATTGGATTTTTATTCAGTCACAGTCACAGCTAAATTACAAAACAAAACCAAAGAAAAACCCACAAAAAATTCAAGGGACCACCGACAGACGCTCATTTCTCACTCCTCTTCTCTACTACCATCGACCGACGAGTGAAATCCTGTGCCGGTGGGTATTACAAAAACTCGCCGGAATCTTCACTTCCCGACAAAATTCCGGATTTCCTTGATAAAACGACAACAAAAATAAAAAATTTTAAAATGGCCAAATATGGAGATTGGATTTTACAACAGGGCTTCGCGGGTCTGAACCTCAGATTCACAGAAACAAGCTACCGTGTTGAAATCTCTTTCTTCTTGATTCAGCTCTCTTAGACGAACAAATTCAGAAGCTTCCGTTGGCCGCCTTCTGGTTGTGGATACTGATGATGATGGTGATCCCCGAGGCCGCTCTCGAAGCACGTGGTGGTCTCGGATTCCTCCGAATTCATCGACGGAGTTCCCGCCCGCCGGGTCGATTTCGCCGGAAAAATGGGCGTCAAGCGGAGATCTAGGTCGTTGAGTTGCTGCTTCGTCGTGGATTCCTGATCCGATCGCTTCCGCTTGGGAGAGAGCCTGGATCGCGAATTGGAGAATCGAGAATTGGGATAAGAATCTCGTAGCTTCCACATGTCGGTACAGGCCACTTCAGCCTCAGACGACGTTTCGTCGGACGGAGATCCTCCTCCGGCGAGAAACTCGTTCATCGGGCGCAAAGTACCTCCTCGCAGCACCGTCTCCACCGCCGCCTGACAGACATGCCAGTTCCCAGTCCAAAGAAGGCCAACGGCTCCGTTCACCGGATTAACCGTCCGTCCACAGGCTTCGAACAACAAGGACTGAAACAGAGCTGAAGGAAACAGAAAAGTAATATCAGCACCACAGGCCACAGCATCAGAAAAAGAAAGAGAAAAAAAAAAAAAGAAACATACAAGGTCTTTGAGATTGAGGGACGGCGGAGATGAAGGACATAAGGCCGGCGCGGCCGAAGAACTTAGCGACGAAGACGGTGGCGTGGCCTTGGGCTTCGGAAGTGTCAATCCACTGCAAACAAGGGCGAAGAATACAGGATTCGCTGCATCCTTTTCGGAGAACACGGCAGCCGTTGCAACTCATATCTGAATCTGATTGTGGGTCGTTGAAATCGAGACGGCGGGTCGCATGGAATGGAAATGAAAAGGGAGAGAAACAGAGGGTGAGAGGAATCTGGGGAAGTGGGAGTGGGGGTAGATATATAAGTTGGGGTTAGATATAAACACAGGGCGGCAATTTTTTAACTGTGGTTGGGTTAGTTTTTTATTTTCATGGACTCACGCTCACGCGACACACAACAGCGCGTGGTAGTTGTAAACCACTTTTGGCTTACGATAGCAGAGGCAAAGGGATGAGATTCCAAAGACTTGGGTGCGGCTCCGTGTCTCCGCGGATGCCCGATCCTCCACCGTTGGATTTCCTTTCACTTTCTTTCTCATTTTTCTTTTTTCCTTTTTTCCCTTTTCTGTGGATATTGCTTTCTTTGCTGCAATGCTATGCGTGGACGATCCATAAAATATCTATTTTCTTTTTCTTTTTTCTTTTAAATAATGAATAAAATATGCTCCTTCGAGGGAAAACCAACGTCCTTGTTATCTTATATCTACACAATTGGGCTTTCTTTTTTCCATTGGGTAGCTGCATCTTTTTTCTCCCTAATAAAAGGCTTGATATTTAAAATAGTACATAAATTTTTATGTAATTCTTGATTTTGTTATCAATCTTTCAAAATTTACCTAATGTAATATAATGTAATAAATTAATTCTCACCGAAGGTCTTTATACTAAAAATTTGATACAATATTAATATATTTAAACACGTCAATAGCTACGTAGTAACTTTCTATTAACAAGTATATTATTATTTTTTGTTTCTGGATAATCTATTTAAAATTTTTCAATACATCAATAGTAAATTAAGAATTTTAAAATATTAAAAATCAAATTAACACCTATATAAAAGAATATGTGATATATTTAACCTGGTATAAACTTTTAATTTTTTAAAATTTAATCTCTATTTTTTTTTTTAAATTTTAGTTTGATTATTTAATTACTTTTGAAATCTCAATTTTAACTTTTAAAACTTTTATTAAACTATTTTTTTTAATTCAACAAACGATGGATAAGAGTCACATATTGTATTTGGAAGAAAGTAATAAGTGAGTTATTTTTTAATTTATTTATTAAACTCATATTTAATCTCTTAGGTAGATATGGTGATGTAAAATATATCACATGAAGCTACGACTCTTAAAGCATTTTTAAAGGGATTAGTGTGAACTTTAATAAAAGTTGGAGTAAGAATAAGATTTTAAAAATTGAAAGACCAAAATATAAAGAGTAAAAATTTAAGGACTAAATCTAAAATTTTCAAAAGTTGAAGGACCAAAATTAATAATACAATTGATTAAAGGCATTTAAATCTTTTTTTTTAGTTATTTTTGGTTTTGCAGTATGACCAACTTTTTCTTCCCCAAATTAGGCCACGATCAAATGGGTATAAAGATTTAGCGCTTAAACTAATACATTTATGTTGCATCCGTTTCACTGTAATTAAGAATGCATATGAAAAAGATAAAGTATAAACAATTGCATCATATAGATTTAGATTTAGTACTACAAGACTTTCTTCTAGACAACTTAGAAGATGGTAGTGTGAACATTGAAAAAGATTTCTTTATTACGACCCTTCAAAAGAAAAAAATTAGTGAGAAAGCAGGACATAAAAGAGATTAGAAAAACAAAAATCCATCTTTTCCTGTTGTCAAAAGATTCGGGAGTTATAAAAAAGAAATTAAAAATAATAGAGATTTATTGTAGCCAACCTAAACTTAGTTAAGTGGTAATTGACATTTGTCTCTAATTCGAAGATCATATATTTGAATTAATCTTCTCTCTTCATTTATTGTACTAAAAAAAGACTTATTACGTGGGTGTGACAACTTGAAGGGACCAAGGGTCCGTATTAATAAATGCATTAAAACCCTTTGATTTGGTTGCGTTCAAACTCTTTTTAAGTTTTTAGGGATGGACCATAGTGGTACTATTGCATTAACTCTTCATGGATTCTTCCATTAGCTTTACGGGCCACACGCCCAACCCAGCCCTCCTCGATTCAACTTAAAAAACCTCTCTAATAATAAACAGTAGACCTTATCCACAAATTTGACTAATGGAACTTATTGACTTTTTAAAATTAATTTCCTCAATAAATGCGAGCTTTAAAAAATATTTATCTAATTAATTAAACTCTTTAGTTAACTTAATTAATTGAGATTAAATTGTATCTACAAATACAAATCTTTACAATAAGTTGATACATCCATAATTATAGTTGGAAAAAAATGTTAGTTTAATTGTCACTTTTAACGAGGTGAATAAGAAGACCCTTTGTAAAGGTCTACATACTTAGTAGTGTGCATCTTCCTATGTTTTTAGGATATAACGTTAATATTTTTAACTTGAAAATATTTAGATCTATTTATTTATTGTGCATTTTGTATCTTGACAATAAAATTTACATCTAAAAGTATCTTTTAGATATTAAAAGAAAATATTCCAAAACATACTAAAGATACCCTAAAGGAAAAAGAAAAACCATGAACCAAACCACCAATCAGCAGTGTTACTGGCTGTTCAGATTTTATAATTTCCAACCAAAACCATTCAACCTAAATAATCAATTATATGAGAGAAATTATAATCTCTCGTAGATCTCTCACTTTTTAATTATACTCCAACAAAATACAAAATAAATAAATTACTAGTAAATGAATATTGTTTTTAAATTAAAAAAACAAAATTATTATGAAAAGAACTAACAAATATTGAAGTTTTTTTTAAATACAAATGATATAGAAAGATTGACCATCCATACCAAGAAAATGAGTAGATATCATTTACTATGTTCATGTTTACGTGAATATGTTCATGTTTACGTGAATATTTGAATTTCATAACCTCATTCCTATAGTGTAACTCAAATAAAATGAAGCTTATTTTCCTAGGTCGGATCGTAAACTATTCATTCCAATTACAAAAGTTTTTGCAAACCAAATACTATGATCTTCATTTTCAAATTTCAAGTAACTAATACTTGCCTATGAACATCCAAAGATAAACGTATTCAATTTCTAGCCCATCGTTTATTATTAAATTAAAAAACTGTCCTTGAACTATTGAGTTGATGAAGAAACCTTAGTAATATAACGTAAAAGTATTGGTATTATTAAACTGCAGAAAACAAAATTTTGGAACTATTTTTTTATAAAAAAAAAAAAAAGAAAGAAACAAAGAAACAAAATTTTGGAACTGAAATTATTTCAAAGATAAATTAAATGGGAGAAGAAGACAAAGGCGCCAGTTGCGTTCCATTAGAATGGCGTGGACAGTTGAACCAACGGCGGGTGACGTGGAAAGATGCGGAAGTCTATTCACAGCTGAGGTGGTCTTCTTATCTGCTACCCTCCTTCTCCTACCTGTCACCTTCAAGAAAAATTACAGTACTTCACGACTATATGCTCTTGTATTAGCATGACATGTAACAAATGGAAAAGATATAACACTCTTTTAGTACCAAAAAATTTTCCAATCATCTTCCAATTGGTATACTTTACCATTTTATCGAATAAAACTTTGGTACTTATCCATTTTAAAAAGTAAGAAAAACATAATAGAATAAATAGTTATCAATTTGTTAATGATAATTTCTACTTATACCTAATCTTTATCCTTCCGGCACATACTGTAGGAATATCGCACCATTCTCTTAACATTTAATAGTATTAATAAATTTCAAAGTACATTGTACCAAGTATGAAAATATTGACAATATAGTAACAAAAAGTGCCCACAATGAAAATGGCAATTTGGGAAGAAGAATTTATCAGCCTGTGATGTGTCAATAATATATAGATTATTATAGATAATGTCTTTTGAGAATCGAAGATATATATTGGATGAAATACCATTCATCTTCCAACTATGATATTTTGCYATTGATATATTCACGACATGGACAATAGCTATCATTCTCTCGTCATTTTCTTTGTCGATATTATTGAAAAAGAAAACCCTAAACCATATTTCTCACTCGCTTTCTTTAGAGGATACATCAAATAAAATAGGAGGAAGAAAACAATGTCACGTGAAAAACATTGAGGGACTCTCTCTAGCTAAAAGCCCCGAATTTGTGATTACATTTTTTTAATAAAAAATAAAGAAACTACGACCGTCGTMGATAACACGAATTTATATTGAATAGATGTGAATATTTTAAGGGTCATAAATAGTTTATAAATAAATGGTTACTATTCAGTTTTGAATATATATATATTCTCTCAAATTTTTCATCCATTTCTTTACTTTGTACAATTGCTCAAATTAATATACTCTAGTGTTCGTTGAGTCATGTGGTTGAAGTGTTGCAATCTTAGTAGTTCGTCCTAATTTGAGAGACATTTGTTTAATAACACCTTGAGTATCATAGATGAACAAAATTATCTTAAAGAAATAATGTTACTATTGAGTTTGGATTAATCAMATTCTTATTTTTCTATGATCTCAGGTAYTTCATTTACTTCAGAGGTCTCTGTCCTAACCAAATTCATCCAAAGATAAGTAATTATTGAAAATGTGTGAGATCTTGTGAAATTAGAAATGAGAATGGAATTGATGAGTTTGTTGATGAATCAGACCAAGGAGTGAGATTCCAAGTTTGAAGGCCTACCATTGATTTCATTCCTATATTTTAATAAACACCATCAAAAGTTATGAAATGTTTTATTCCCATTCCTTGAGAGTAAACATGTCTTAATGTTTAATTTTACATAAAATCCCACCAAATAATTGAAGTAATTACTTAATCCAATAACTAAGGATCAACTAAAAAAWAGTTAAAGATTGTTATAAAGGAAAATAATATTCTTTGATACAATTTGGATCTTTAAAAAAGCATGTTGTTCGCCCAAGAAAAAGAGTAAAGTAATATAACAAACCAATTATTAATTTTAGAACTATTGTAATGTGTAAATTGAAATGTATTTTGATTTGTGTTGTGTCATATTTAGATTAATACATAATTAAGATAATTTTGGTGGCAAAGTAAAAGTAGTAATAAAGAAGATGACTTTGTAKTGGGAACCAAAATCATTGCAATAATCAAAATGACATAAATTGAAGATTGCTATCAAAATGGTGCAATCCCAAGAACAGCCAAGCTGATAGTGACGCCCAAAGATTACAAATCCTTATTACACACTCCAACATTCAAACTATGGTCCTCCATGGCTTATAAACTTTGTCATTTTCCTTTCACACAAATTTTGATTTTTCTATCCTCTCTTGGACGATAATTTAGACTCTATTTAATGACATGTTTGTTTTTTTAAAATGTTAAATTCGTTGAGGTTCACTATTTTTTTTAAAAACACTTGAATTCTTCACCAATTTGAAGATTAAAATTCTTAAACTACTTTGGTTAGTTTTTAAATTTTAATTAAAATTATATATAAAAAAACAAAGTTTTTGAAAAGTAGAAAATTAAAAATAAAGTAATCAAACGAGTCCTCAAAAGAGAATCTTTATTTTCTCTATGTTTTACCCTCTTTAGGAGTATTTAGTTGATGGTAATGAATGAAGAAAATAAGCAGATCTTCAAAACTCTTTTCATCATTTTTTTTAATTGTCTATAACAACGGTTCAAAAAAATGAAAGAATTATCATCACAATAGTTTCTTTTTCTTATCAGTCCTCTAAATTGAAAAGAAAAGCKTTTGATGTAGAAATTTGGTCTTCTAGAATCTCACCAAACTCACACTAATCTTCTATAATAAATGGATTGAATCTTGCAAAACAGAATAGTACTAAAGATCGGTATAGCTTTTGCCGACTCCRAAGTGGGCATAACAAATAATAAGGATTTGTAGCGTATGAATATTTACCTCCTATTTATAGAGGTAAAATTCTAAGGCATTAAGATATATTTTCCTGAATCTAGCAAAAATACTAAGACCATTAGAATATATCTTCTCCTTTTGGATTTTTTAAAAATTTGAAGGGTAGAAAATAGAGATTTTCTAGTCCTAAAATACGTTTTTTTAGTTAGATTTAGAGTTGGTGTTAGACCTTAAAGTTTAAATTGGAAAATAATTCTAAATAAATCCTGGAAAAAGAAAAAAAAAAGATGTGAGACGTTATTTTTTTAATTAGCCGGCTCCTTATTAAATAAATAAGAAAAAAAGGTCGGTAATTCCACCGTGTGAACCTCTGTCAAAACTTCCAAAGAAGAAGAAGAAGAAGAAGAAGGATATGGGTGAATATGGTCCAAGGCTGGTGGTGCCTATAGATGTGAAGAAGAAGCCATGGCAGCAGAAACTTCCACTTCACAACCGGTGGCACCCGGAGATACCGCCGGTGGCGGAGGTCGGAGTTGATGACTTCTTCAGACTCGAAATGGTGGACTTCAGCGGCGGAGGAATCACCGGTCATTACTCTGCTCAGGACATTAAACACGCTGATCTCTCTGTTGTAAGCCTCTCTCTTTCCCTCTCATCTTTCACTCTGTTGGGAAACAAAAAAAAAATCACAGCCTAGATATTTTCAATTTAATCCTCGGTTTGGAGATTGAAAGATGCCATTCTTTGGCTGTCAACATCATCRATGGACAAGAAAGACAAAATTAGGTTTCTTATCCCTTTGTTACCAAAACCCAGTTAGGCGTCTAATTTCTGTGTCTCCTGAAATCCATGGCTCCTTCTACTCCGAGACTTGTTGTTCCAATAGACTTGAAAAAGAAGGCATGGGATCAAAAATTACCTCTTCACAACCGGTGGCACCCACTTATACCCCCAGTTGCAGAGGTTCAAACCGATGAGTTCTTCAGGGTTGAGATGGTGGACTGGACTGGAGGTGTCATTGGAGATAATGACTCAGCCAGTGATGTACAGTCTATTGACCTTTCAATTGTAAGTACAAATAATGAACCTTAAACCATCTCTACTGCCCTTTTGAGCTCCTGATTAATCAGCCTGATAATTCGTAAAGCTTTTAGTTGTACAGAGTCGGGGTTAACTAGAATGATAAGCTGATTTTGAATGAATATAGAGCTCCAAAGAAGATGAATTTCAGTCGCTAACAATGGGTGGTTGTGTTTCTCAATCGTGGCCAGACCCATTACCTGAGTGGCCCAATTAGAGTTGTGGACAAGGATGGAGTTCCAGCCAAGCCAGGAGATCTACTTGTAGTTGAAATCTGCAACTTGGGTCCTCTTCCAGGAGATGAATGGGGTTATACTGCAACATTTGACAGAGAAAATGGAGGTGGTTTTCTCACCGACCATTTTCCTTGTGCCACCAAAGCTATTTGGTATTTTGAAGGAATATATGCATACTCTCCTCAAATCCCAGGTAAATGCTCCAACCTGAATCAATGGTTCCTATAAACTATAACTATGGATGGCGATGAACTGTATACAGCTTCCAGGAGTTCGATTTCCAGGTCTAACTCACCCTGGAGTGATTGGAACTGCACCATCGGCAGAGCTTCTGAGTATTTGGAATGAAAGGGAAAGGCACGTCCAAGAAAACGGGCTTCAGACTCTAAAGCTTTGTGAGGTCTTGCATTCACGGCCATTGGCAAACCTACCATCACCGAAAGGTTGCGCTCTTGGAAAGGTATGATCATAAAACTACCATCTTGCTCGAAATTCCAAATTCAATGAGCAAAATAATGGCCAAATTCCATGCTTTTGCTTGTGAGTAGATCAGAGAGGGCACAGAAGAATGGGAAAGAATTGCCAATGAGGCGGCAAGAACAATCCCAGGGAGAGAAAATGGTGGAAATTGTGACATCAAAAACCTCAGTAGAGGTTCAAAAATATACCTCCCAGTTTTCGTGGAAGGGGCAAACTTCAGTACGGGTGACATGCACTTCTCGCAAGGAGATGGTGAAGTCTCATTCTGTGGAGCAATTGAAATGAGCGGTTTTCTAGAGCTCAAGTAAATTCGGCTTCTCTACTTATTCAGATCTCTGTCATTTTTTTCTGCTTCAGAACTACGAATAATATTTTACTTGCTCATCTTCTTTCTCAGGTGTGATATCATAAGTGGCGGAATGAAAGAGTACCTCACACCAATGGGGCCGACTCCTCTGCACGTAAACCCAATATTTGAGATAGGTCCAGTTGAACCAAGATTCTCAGAATGGCTGGTTTTTGAAGGCATCAGCGTGGATGAAAGTGGGAGGCAGCATTTTCTCGATGCCACTGTAGCTTACAAGCGCGCTGTCCTCAACGCCATCGACTATCTTTCCAAATTTGGTTACTCGAAGGAACAGGTCAAATAAATCTCTTCCATTTATCACAACCTCTAGAACTCACACTCACACAAGAAAATCACAAACACCTGAGATGCATACACAAACCAAAAAACTAAATGCAGTGCAGCGCAGTGCAGTTGAATACGAATATTGAATATAGTATGTGTGAAATTCAGGCTTATCTGCTGCTGTCATGCTGCCCCTGCGAAGGAAGAATCTCCGGGATTGTTGATTCACCAAATGCTGTGGCTACCTTGGCGATCCCCACCGCCATTTTTGATCAGGTAGCCTCCATTCTCCAACTGGTTCGATTCAATTTAAATAAAAAAAACTGTCTTTCGCATTAATAGTCCATCTACCACTTTAAAACACATGATAAGTTTTGAGAGAATTAATATGTTGAGGAGGCTTATTTCAAACAAGTCTAGATTGCGTATTTGRAATGGAGTTGAGAGAGAATATTGCATTGATATAATGAGCAGGATATTCGCCCAAAACCGAGTAAAGTTCCAGTTGGACCTCGACTACTTRGAAGATCAGACGTCCTGAAATGCAGCTATGATGGGAATTTGCCCACCACCAAGAACCCCAGCGCCACAACTTAAACAAGGTGGATGTGGATCCCTTCAATTTCTTCTTTTTTGTTCCTCTGCTTCTGCCTTAAAGATACATTCTGTTTGAAATTAAGGTCTGAATTCAAAACCATCAATGTTACAACAAATTAATTATGGTTTGGCTGTCTGTAATACTATAAAGGTAAAAGATATACATACTCAAACTCTGATAATCGCTACTAGACTGTAGAGTTCCTAAAAGTGGTGCCATGTATCCTAAATCCCTACAAATTACATCGAGCTTCTTCGGCCAAAATTTGCCAGTCCTAGCAACTGCATAACACAAGGCTATTGGAAAAAGTGTTGGAATCAGTAGTATATTGAGAGAGTACGATGGTGTGGCAGAGATGGACACTGGATTCCAAAAGACCAAAGCCAGAGGTCTAACTCCACGCTTAGAACCTACAAAAACCAAATCCTTGAAACTTAGTATTCTGAGAAGGCAAAGCATCAGCAGAGAGAGATACGGGATTTATACAAGTTTCTGTCTGCTGATAAGTTGTGAATAGAAACACTTTCGACGTTCTTTTGTCTACATAATGTAATTCCGAGGTACCTGTTTTCCTGATTTCAGGCTGATCAACTCTCTCATTTTCTCAACTGCATGTATAGAGCAGGCCCGTAGTTCGACTTCCTCCTCACTGCCCGGACCAATTTYGCTGTTAGCATCGATGATGCTAGCAAGAGTAGAGCTATACTTTAGCACCCCGAGCTGTCGAAGTACGGCAGGAACAATGTAGTCTGCCATAATGGTGATTGAACCTATGTCACTGAATTCTCCATATCCTTTGCCACTGAATGCACCCCACAAGTCAGCTGCAAATATTTGAGCTCGTTTGTACAGGAATACCTGGTGGCCTTTGTAGAGAGAGTGGTCTCTAAAGCCTGATGTTAGTAGTGTTAGCACCTACATTACATATAATTTTAACATGTTTATGTAGAAAAATGYAAAAGTTCATACCGGGAAAGTGTTGCGTGATGACAGCAACAAGCTTTACAGTTGACTTTCCACAGGACTCCACTATATTACAAGCTTTACCCTCAAAGCTTCTCTCCAATTCGAATCCAACCTAAGACAAAAAATAGAATGATATCATAATAGTATTTCCGTATAAGGATAAGTAATCGCACAAAAGAACAGGGTCCATATGGGTTGAACAAAAGMGTACATATATTCAATACAAGGATGMCTTAATTCYACTAAAGGAAAAATAATTTCACCTCGTGCAGCAAGCGAACCCGTTCGTCCTCTAAAGGAAGTGGTCTAGGCCATTTCAACAGCTCACGTAATTGAGGACCTAATTGTATATAAACATCCCATTGGTAACAGAAATAATGAAATAACACTATCTGGTTAAGATGATATCATTTGTGACTTGCCAGTGTACTTTTGCAGGCGATCGGCATCAAACGCTGACTTGTCATTTTGAAGAGCAGCCTTCAGTCCCGAGGCCAAGTGATCATAGCTCAAGTCCTTATCTGTAGCCGAAGGAAAGAAATGTTACWGAAGCAAAATATATCGATATATGTCAACCATAGAATACACAGAAGAAATTCAGGAGCAATAGCCAATGCAATTAAGCAAGAAAAGGAGTAGCATTTTCCTTTTCAGTCCATCGTCCTCTACGACAGATGTCAAATTGCTCCAACTCTCGTGTTGCTTAAGAACTTCAATTTTATCGTTTAAATTCGAATTGATTCTAGAATACCTTTAAAATCCTAAGACCATCAATAACATTTAGATCCTTTGTAGACGCTTTAGGGTGTAATCTTATTGAATCTTTAAAGTTAAAACTGTTTTTCTTTACACAAACTTTGAAAGATTAACGAGCTTTTCTGRTCTGTTTCCTAATGGTGCTAATCAGTCGTTGATCATTGGCTTCGAGTTTCCATGGCTGTCAAGAATGTTTGGAACGGCTAATGCATAACATTCAGCATAATAATAAAATCAAATGCTCAATTCGACGACGTACATCTTATCTTATGATATCGGCATCCTGGAACCAGGGAAGTTCTGTATGAGTTGATATTCAGTGAAGATTTAAAATAACAAAATGCAGAAGATGGAGAATCGACCACACAGCAAAATACCAAATCAACAGAATAGGGAATTTGCGAAACAATAATGAAGCAGCAGAACAATTGTAACTATTGAACCATAAAGATTCGGAACAGAGACAAAAAGAAGTAAGCCAGAGCCAGAATAATTCGTAGCCAATGGATGTAAAGGAGAACAAAAGCCCATTATTAATAAAGACATAGAGGGTGTTTATATGTTACCAGGCCAGAAACAGAAATTCAGAGCGTCCAACACGAACAAGTACTGGACAGTTAATGGGCCATTATCAAAATAGTGAATCCCTTCAAAATCCCATTCAACTTTGGGAATCGACTCGATAGTATCCACCACCTTCTCAATCCCTGCAGTACCAAAACCAAACGAAAACACCCACATTTAACGTCACCATTATCGCACAGACAAAAATCTAAAAACCCACACGGCGAAAGACTAAACCTGAAGAGTCGACAAGGACGTGAGAGGAGCGGCTAGCAACCCAAGCCGAGGTTGCCCTAACATCATCCATGGCGGCCATAGTTGTCTGCGTGCTAATCTGTGAATACCCTGTTTTGGGAGTGGATGGGGGCTGCGACTGCGGAAGTCGTGTGGCTATTTCTTCTTCCCTTTTTCGTTTCGAAGTTTCCCGCTTTGCGACGCGTTTTATCTGCTTGCTAAGAGCCAGATCTCGTGTCTGCGTCGGAAAAGCCGTTACTTTAGACCACAAAATTTCCCATTTTCGACCTATCCGTCGGCCCCTGTGGTTCACGTGCGTCGTTTCTATATTTGGGCTTCGTCCTTCGCAAGAGGCCCGTAAACGTTTGGGCCCAACCCAAAGTTTGCAGTGTAGTTGGGCCTGCAATTTATAGGCTAAAACTACGTGTATAAAATAGCAATTACGTAACAATAGTTAATAAAATAATCATCCAATTTTTACTCAAAAAATAATAATTATTATTATTATTATGCAATTGGCAAACATTATAATGATTACTAATTAATGATTATTAATGGGGGGGGGTCCACTTTTGGTCTACTCGATTATAACTTTTGATTTCTAGTTCCTACGGTTTGAAATTTTTTTTTAGTATTGCAGGCTACACCTTTCAATATTTATTTGAGGTATAAATTAGATGTCTAAGAAGTTAATAATTTTAAGTATTTTAACTAACCATTAATTAAATTCAGGGATCAAAATAAACCCGCCCAAATTAAAAGGATATGTGATGCCTCGGTTACTTGATTTTAAATCTACGACGGTYAATTGCATTTATCAAAAAGGAGAACAAAAAAACATAATCTTGAATAAAGTACATATATTACCTAACTCTTCCAAATAGACCACGGACCCCTATTATCAAAGAAAACTACAATAATGTAACGTGGAAAGTTTCATCACGCTACTAGACATGGAATGCTCACATGCCTTTGTTTCATTTATCCCACACGTATCAATTGAGTATTTATTATTTAATGCGTCGGCAATCATAAGCAAAAAAAAATCAAAATTAATCAAGTACTTGACAAAACAATACGTGAATTGTTCTAACAAGTGAAAAAACATTTGTAATGATAATAATAATAAAACTTATACCCTCTAATTACATTCCAAACAAACCAAGTCATTTTCCATAATAATAAATCACAGCCAGTAAGCTAATACTAAACTTAATAGTCAATACTAAATATTTATTGAAAGTATTTATGTCTATTTATTATTTTAATCACATGACTTAAAATTTCGATGRGTCGTTTAATAAAATAAAATTGTATTTTTTGCTCTCGTTAGGTAGAGGTGAGATTCGAATCCACAAATTTTTTCGATATATACATTAACCAATTTAATCATGTTCATGGCAATTCTTAAGCATTTTTTTAACTATAGTGGTTAACATTTATTTATTTTTAAACCTCACATCATCTTATTGTGACTTTTTCTTTTAATACAACAATATGTAAGAGGAAGATTTCCACCCATCACATTTTGATAAGAAATAAATGTATTAACTAATTGACATAAACTTAAAAAAAATAAAAAGCCTAGAGGAGATATTTATTGAAAACATTAGAGAAGAAAGAAAGCTAACGA